ATCCACACCTCATTGCCTTACATTGATTTGCATAAGCAATTTCCACCCTGATAATTGGAGCCAAACATCTTTTTGTAGGTTACCTTATGGAAAAGAGCAGTTAAATACTAATCAAAAAAATCTTTCTTTATTCAACCATATTTTAAATGATACTGAATTACCTTCATTGGATGAGCAGGAAGGTGACTCACTGTGACGGATTTCGAAGTGAGTTTATATCATGTTTAACAATTATCTTTCTTTATAATTTTAGTTCCCTGGTGTTGCCTCTTAACAACATAAAGAACAGTACTACCAGGCTCAAATCAATAAAATGATATTGTTTTGTTTGAAAAGAAAAAACAGTAGTAGTATGCACTAATTATTTTTTAATAGCTACTGAGTCAATGTTATCTGAGGATGTCAAATTAAAATTATACATTTATTCTTTTATTTCTAAAAACTCAAAGAAAAATTACAAAAAGTGTAACTAGGGAGATGAAAACAAGTAAAAATCAACTAAGAAAGGTCAAAGTCATGTGAAACAATTCTATCTAAAAGAATCCTTCTCTGAATGATTTACTTTAAAAATAAGTCTAGAGTACGTAGGTTAGAATGAGGATTTGAGCTGTGGAAGCTTAAATTATAAAAACAAGGTAAAAGAAGTAGATCCCAATTTATTGATCATATGTACAAACATTGTACACATGGGTAAAAATCACTATGTGTACTTAAACTATAAGAAACCTAAGAACTTAAAGATGTGAAAATTTCAGAAAGATTCAGCAATTCTTGCAGTAGCAGAGGTCAAGCATGAGGTTAACTAAGAAGATACTCAGAACACAGTGCCACTGAAATCAAATGAAGAAAGATTCCAAGGACTTCTGGATTAAAATGATGAACTGAACAAACACATCTGATCCCACGCTCTCCCAAAGCCTGACTAGAACTACACTGAATGTATGGGTGTTTTCTCTGTGATACCAAAATTTCTTGATTTTCTGACATCTAGGAGTGCTTTCCCTGACTTCTATCCTCTAACTCTCCCAACAGGGTCAAAGCCATATAGTCTCACTATGCAGATGATTAACTGAAGATTCAGGAACACAAGTTAAATTCTCCCATTAAATTGAAACAGTTGTCCCAAATTAAAGTATCAAATCCAAATTGTCTAACTAGTAAAATGCATTAATAAGATGAAAAAATCTAATTTTTAATTCTACTCGTGCATTTTATAACTATGAAGTCAGAGGCCAGGAAGGACTTAGTGACTAACAGAAAGCCCATCATTAATTAGGAACAAGAATAATGGTTGTCAGGGGGAAAACATGGGGGGAAGTGATAGTTAGGAAGTTTGGGATGGACATGTACACACTACTATATTTAAAATGGATAACCAACAAGGACTTACTCTATAGCACATGGAACTCTGCTCAGCGTTATTTGGAAGCCTGGGTGGGAGGGGAGTTTGGGGGAGAAAGGATACATGTGTATGTATGGCTGAGTCCCTCCGCTGTTCACCTGAAACTCTCACAATATTGTGAATCAGTTATACCCCCAATACAAAATAAAAAGTTTAAAAAAAGAATAATGTTTCTCCCTACTTATTCCATTGCCTCTGTGTCCCAAAATATTCCAGCAATTGTTTTGGGTAATCTACTATGGAAGAACAGTAGCTAAACAGAACTTGCAAAAATACAAATATTTCTGTGTTTAAAAACATGTATTATTTATAAGTGGCATACATAATCCACAAAGGTTCACTCTTCATTTGCTCTATTTCACTTTCAATTTAACCATCAAAACAAAATGGAAACTGACTTATTAACGGGGCTCAGTCGCTTCAGTCATGTCCGACTCTAACGGACTGTAGCCTGCCAGGCTCACCTGTCCATAGGATTTCCCAGGCAAGAATACTGGAGGGGGTTGCCACTTCCTTGTTCAGGGGACCTTCCTGACCCAGGGATGGAACCTGGGTTTCCTGCATTGCAGGCAGTCTCCTGCACTGTAGATGGATTCTTTATCCATAGCCACCTGAGAAGTGCTATGCCATCTATTACAATCTAAACAGACAGAATGTGTGTTCTGTCTATTACATACTAAGAGAAGTTTGGAGGCAACTTATCTTAAAAATTATGCAAAACTGAACCATTTAAGCATCATACACAACATTCAAGAAATAAGGGAACTGGACCAAAAAATCAGGAAGATCAGACCAAGAAAAGTTGTGAATATTCAGTATGAAACCATTTACCAGACATTCAGATAGCTGATTGAATGGATTATATGGATACTAGAAACAAAACTTTTCTCAAAAAGTCTCTGGAGTCCCTTCCACTGAGGGATGTATGTATAAGTTGAAACTTGAAATACGTTGTCCAATACAAAATATTATAAAAGTTAAGAAATATGTAGCTGAATCAATACACAGATACTTGCTAAGTTAAATATAAACATGTTAACTCAGCTACCTTTATATTATTTTTATTCTATTTATTATATAACATTACATTTGTACTTTATTAATATAATGTTATTATGTGTTTTTATTATATTTTAAATTTATATTGTATAAATATATTGTTTTATTTACTTGTGAATGTATTTATAAAATACATTTTCCTTGTTCCCAAAAGAGCTTAAGATGGATCACAAGGACTAAAAGATTCAAGAGAAACCAAGTTTCAGAAGAAACCACCATTATAATATTGTTCAGGTGTGGAACACCAGGGCTAAGGTCCAAGTACTAAAACAAAACAAAAAATAAAAAAGAAAGAAAGAAAGGAAATATGGAGGGAGGGAAGAAGAAAGAAATAGAGGGATGGTGGGATAGGGGGAGAATATATGAAAAAAATACTATTTGCAATTTAGGATGCCTACATTTGTAAATCTAACCCTGGGTCTATGTGCAAATATAAACTTCCACTTGTCAACACAGAAATAGCCATTGTTAATATAAAAACAATTAATAGATTTTCCAGCAGAGATAAGCACTGACAGTCTAGATTAGCTCTTTCAGCAACATGTAAACCAAGATTCCCCAGAGGCTTGTGGATGGGAAATATATTAATATCAACTCTGTGACCACTCAGCACTATGACATGAAGTGTCTGTTCAGGAGGTCATTTTCAAGCCATATCCCATGCATCTTCATGCACAAGAGATGATAATTTATCACCTAGACACAGGAATCTACTGTAAACTAATCCAAACTGCTGATGATACACTAAATCAGTTTGAGTGATGAGTATAAATAAAGCGGCAAGGAAAGTACTGAAGGATAAAGATCTATCTGATCAATGAGATGTCACAGGCAAACGAAATGCAATGTTGACAAACACAGAGTCCCTGAGTTGAGAATTAACCAAATCAAGTACCAGCACATAACGGCACACATTAATACAGACTTCAAATGAAAGTTTAATATCATGGGAGTTGGAGGGTAGAGTCCGTTACAGACAAACCTGAACCGACCGGGTCAGCAGAAGAGGGTGTATTAAAAGTTGATCTATTTTGCACACCACAGAAAGTACCATAAGTAAAGGAAAAACATTGAAAAAAAATCCTTCCCAGATAACATAAGTATAGTTATTCAATCTTCCAAGCAAATCTAAACACACAAATGAGAAGGAAAAAATTTAATAAAAATTGTATACAGAAAGTAATTTCACATCAACTTGCTACCAGGAAATTAAATTCAATTTGTGGAGCTCTTATGAAAGCTTAGCTATTTTCTGGAACTGTACTGTCATGCTACAACTTCAATGGGAAAACAAAGGAGTGGGGATAAGGAAGGACATTTCTCCAGATAGTTGATATTCATGGAGGTCACTCACAGAGGAAAAAAAAAGAGATTTTCCTATAACTATCTGATCGGAATAGAGACTTTAGCACTTAGCAAACAGAGTCAACAGAATTCAGCAATTCCAAAGGTGGCCCTAATGGAAAGAGCTGATTAAAATAATTCCAACCCCAGCTGGAACAATTTGGTAAAAATATTTTCTAAGGAAAATTATTCTTCAAGGAATTTATATATATTTTTTCTCTTGTGTTAAGTATTTAGAGCTTTGTCATAACATATTTAACTCTTGTTTTGTATTTTATTGTTTAGTTTATTTTGGGTAAAGATAGAATTAGACTACTAAAACATGACCTGATCCCATATGTAGTTTATTTAAATTTCAAAATGAAAAGCTTACTGAGAAAGATAAGATTGATTGCTCTCTCTGTCTTAGCATAATTGTATTTCAGGTGAACATCAATTTACTTTAAAGGACACTTCTAAGTAGCAGAATGCATCATAAATAATTCATCAATCACAGCTGCTAGGAACATGGTTTACTCCAACAGATTCAATGGAATAAAAATTCTATTTTTCCATATTTGTGTTTGCTTTCGAGAATTTAAGAATCTTCCTTTTCTAGGAGTCTACTCCTAGATTCCATGTTTCATACTGTAAATGTATTATAATAAAACTGTTTCTTTTTTTCCTTCTTTATTTAAAGTACTGTATTTCCTAATTTTAAAAAAAAACACTTTAATATATTTGGAAAAAATAACAATCTCTGTATATCAACATTAAAACAGCGAACAACATAAAAGGCACATATCTGAAAAAGTGTTAAGAATTTCTCAAACAGTGCATAATTCCAAAAAGGCTAACATAATTTGTTTTCATTTTATATAAACTTTTAAATGGAAGAAAACGGAAATAGACTTTTGTGAAATCATATATAGACTATTTAGGATCTGCTATATTTGAAAATTACTTCAATCTTAAAATGCATATTAAAGAGATTCTAAATGATATAACCTTTCAAGTTTTGTGGGTTAGTACAGAGTCTTATCTACCATTTTCATTTTTCATATGATAAGGCACTGCTTACCTTACTTACCGTATAGTTTCCCATAAAATTCAGCAATTTTGTATAAGCAATTTCCCAAGCTGTGAAATATCTTTAAAATAAACACAAGAATAAGGAAAACTGTAAAAAAAAAAAAATAGATAACATTTTACTTACTTGCAAACCCTTTTGAAATACTGAATGGCCCATAAAATTAGCCAGCATTCTAATTAAAGCAGCACCCTGTAAGAAAGAGTAATTTTAAAAAAGAAAAGGAAAAACTTTCAACCAAGTAACGTGATTCTAAAATTATTCTATATCAGTCAAAAATAGTCTTCATTCATGCTATTTTATTCTTAAAAATAGTTAAGAAATAAGAGAATTATGAATGCAATACTTCACTTATAGGTTACAATTGCATTTTTTGTTCAATCTAAAAGTTTTGTGGATCTAAAACTGATGATTTTGAAGTAGAAGTCTCTTGGGTAAAATATCTCAGAGCAATAATAAGTTGTAATTCAGGAATACTAGAAATTTTACTGAGCACCATAGATGACAAAGTTAATAAAACAAGGTTCTTATACTCACAGGTTCATAATCTAGTAAAGGAGATACATCCATGTTATAAATAATCCCATTGAAATATTGCTTTGACGTAACATAGCTACATACTCTATCTCTGGCTTAATCAAGAATCATTTAGTTATAGAAGTGAAGAGTAGGAAGTTCCAGGGAATCAGATTACTTGGATTCAAATTCTGGTTCTGGCATTACTCTCCATGTTTACTCAGCTAAACTATTTAACCCTCAGTTCCTCACTTTTCTCACTTGAAAAGTACAGGCAATAATAGTCCCAATTTATATGGTTTTCTGAAATTTAAATACATTATCAAATGTAAGGCAATTCAAACTGGGTTTAAAAATTAGTAACCATGATAGAAGTGCTAGCTGTCAGTATTATATCAAGGTAATTATATTTATTTCCTGTGTTTTTTTCCTTTGAGAGTCTTCTATAAATCCATATACAAGTAGAACAATAATGAGGCTGATAAATATTTAGAGTAATAGAAGAAAATACTAATGTAAGAGTCTATCTCATTTTGAAAATGGTTATTACATTGTAAGGGGCTTCCCTTATAGCTCAGTAGGTAAAGAATCTGCATGCAGTGTAGGAGACCCGGGTTTGATCCCTGGGTCGAGAAGATCCCCTGGAGAAGGAAATAGCAACCCACTCCAGTATCCCTGCCTGGAAAATCTCATGGACAGAGTAGGCTGGTGGGCTGCCGTCCATGGGGTCGCAAAGAGTCGGGCACGACTGAGCGACTAACACTAACACTTCTTACACTGTAGAACAATATCAGTGTGAAAAGGCTGACAGGTAATCACTATGAAAAATTTCAAGAATCAATGGTTAAGCCTAGATTATCACAAATCTGTATGCAAAATATAAATAAGCCTTCAAGAAGATATTTCAATCTGCACCAAACTGTTTTAACTATGAAGCAGTGAATTAAAAGCAGCAAAAGTTTAAAAATAAATGATAGGAAACAACACAATTCTGTAAGGCAATTATCCTTCAATTAAAAATAAACAAACTTTTAAAAATCTTAAAAAAAAAAGACAGCCTGGTTTTAAGGGAAATAAATCCCTTTATAACTACATTTCTAACTTTATACTCACTTTAAATTCATACCCATCAAGCTAATTTCTTACCAGGTATCTCTTTTTTTATAAAAGAATCATAAGAACCTCGTATAGACTCATCCAGCCTGGGGCTGGGTGGCAACGAGTATAGAGACACAAGAATGAATTTCCATTGTTACCAGAACTGCTCCCTGTAATTCCAGAATTTTAATGCAGTAGAGAACTCAGGCTCTACGAATCAGCATTAGAGAAATGTCTCCAAAAAATTCAGTCATCATCAGAGTTGCTTCCCCAAATTGGCATTTTATTCACAACTCAACAAATGACGGACTCCCTGGACAAGCCGTAGAGTTGTATGCCTCTCCTGGTATATTTTCCTTCGACAGCTTCTGCTCTGTGCTCTTTCTTCTGCTTCTTACTCTGTATCTTCTGCACAGTTGTATAAACCACAAAGTGTAAGCATCTATGATTCAGTCTGGGGACCAGGTTAGAATTCCCTTTAGAACGTATCAATTCTGCTCCTTGAATTTCCTTGACAAGCTCCCCTCCTATACATTCCCAATCTAATCTACCCATCCCAAGGTGGACATTGTCAGTTCTGCAGAAAAACTAACCCTTGCCACCTGGGAGTAAGACAGAATCCCGAGCAGTCATCGGAAAACCTTTCTTAGGACGGAACAGCCATCTTTGGATGATTTAAGTGTTTCCCTCTAGGTAATGAAGACTTGGTCTCTTGTCAGGCTATAAAAACTATCAATCTGGCATGGGCTAATGACAAAAGAGTCCTTTCTAATCATAAAGAATGTACCTGTTTTCCTGTCTGGGTTGAGCTGGAGCAGAGTACTAACAGGAAAGAAAACCTAGGAATATATTTAATATTTTAAGGTTATATACTATGGGACTCTCTCTTATGATTATATTGTATACTTTAATTAACTTTTCAAAAATATGTTTGTCTGCCAATTTGAATATTTTAAGTTTTCCAGAGTAGCATGCATGCATTCTTCTATATTTAACTAGACTTCTCTTTCCAAAACTCAATTTTAAAAATCACTATTTCATAGAACTTCATAGACAGATGGGTTCTTCAACTGCCATCATGCAGCCAACATATACTGAGCACCTACTATATGCATTATAACAAAGATTACACTTCTTAATGCAGGCAAACCTCACTGTAAACCCTTGTTCAAAAAGAAAACAATAAATCCCCTTTCACTGGGTCTTTAAAATATTTTTTCACCAATTTGCAATATTATAATTTATACTCACTTGTGATTCAAAATTCCAGCCCCAATCAAAGAAACTGGATGTTACACAGCCTAAGTAGATTTTATGGGAAATAAACATACTATTTCTACAATATTTCTATAATTCTGAGATTTAATCAAGAAAACATCACTATATTTGCTATACTAAATTTCAGGGAGATGATAGGGTAGAAACTACTAAGTGATTTTTTTTTTAAGGTTTTATAAAGAATATTATGGGCTTCCCTGGTGACAATGAAGAATCTGTCTGCAATGCCGGAGATGCAGGTTCTATCCATGGGTGGGGAAGGTCCTCTGGAGAACAGAATGGCTACCCACTCCAGTACTCTTGCCTGGAGAACTCCATGGACAGAAATGGGCTACAGTCCACGGGGTCACAAAGAGTCAGATACAACTGAGCAACTAACACTTTCACAAAGAAAATTCTACAAAAGTATGCTTATAAACCTATTACTCATTTAGTGATTTTTCTATTTGTAGTATCTTTCTCATATAAGTTCCTAGCTAAAATTTCCTTTATTTACATGCAAGCATTTGCGTGCATGCCAGTGTCAATGATAGTAAACACCTCCAGAGGAAGGAGTGTGTATGACTTGGTGCCCCTGTTCCATCTGCCTGGCTGAGAAAGGTGCTTCCTCACCACAATAACTGGATGAGAGAGAAAGAGAAGTTAGTTGCACAGATAGCAATTACTTTGCCTTCTAGAAGACTACTCAGGCAGGAGAGACAGTTTATTACTTTAGCTTATTTATCTTATTGGTGTACTTCAGTGATAAGTAATCACTTTTGAAGAGCTTCCCTGGTAGCTCAGATGGTAAAGAAACAGCCTGCAATCAGGAGACCCAGGCTCAATCCCTGGGTCGGGAAATCCTCTGGAGAAGGAATCCCATGGATGGAGAAGCCTGGTAGGCTGTAGCAAAGAGTCGGACACGACTGAGTGACGTCACTTTCTGTTAAAGAGGGGACGATCTTCTCAACTAATTTATTTCTTTAACATATGCTTATTGAGGAAAACTGTACCCTCAGAACCCTATAAGGTTTTGCTGGTGGCTCAAATGGTAAAGAATCTGCCTGCAGTCTGCCATTTACCACTCTGGCGCCAACCCCACCTTCCATGACCCCCTGCCTGCAATCCGCAGTCTCCACACAACAGTTTCCCAGCAGCGCAGCAGACCGCCTCCACCATTTCCCCTTCTCGAGTTCTGCCTGCCTGCACCCAGCCACCCGACACGGCCATGCACCTCGGTACAAACCCACCACCAACGGCGGTGGTAAGCCTGCCCTGGAGGAGCCGAAGGCCAAATTCCCTCCTCCCTTCTACTGCTTCTACCAACTGGAAGCACAGAAAACTAGAATTTCATTATTTTGTTTTGAAAAAATATATATGTTGATTTCTTGTAACATCCAATAGGAATGCTAACAGTTCACTTGCCGTGGAAGATATCTGGACCGAGTGGAGGCATTTAGGAGGCATTAGTGGGCTGTCCCATATTCCATATGCTGTTTCCTAGTCCCAGCTCTGCTTGCTGAAACTGGAAGTTATTTATTTTTTAATGACCCTTGAAAGCCATGAATGCATCAGCTAGCAAAAGAAGTAACAAGAGTGATTCTTGCTGCTATTACTGCTAAAAAAAAAAAAAAAAAAAGAAATCAAGACTTGGAACGTCCTTTTAATTGACAAAGGTTCAGTAAATTCTTACCATCAAAGTGATGGATTATTATTTATAAATCAAGTTTGATGAAGTAATCACTATCTGCAGTGGTTCAACTTTTAAGTTAAGGGGAAAACTTTGACTTTGTAGATAATATAAAATAAAAACTTAAAAATTTTTTTAAATAAAGTTTTAAAAACTAAAAAAAAAGAAAGAATCTGCCTGCAATTCAGGAGACCTGTTGATGCAATGCATCAATCCCTGGGTTGGGAAGATGCCCTGGAGAAGGAAATAGCAACCCACTCTAGTATTCTTGCCTAAAGAATCCCATGGACTGGCAGGCTACAGTCCATGGGGTCACAAAGAGTTGGACGTGACTTAGCAACTAACACTTTCACACTTTCAGAATCCTATGAAGCATAAATAGTAATGATACAAGTCTCTAAACTCAAGCAAAGATACAACATAATATAAGATGAAAGACAAAAGAAATAAAATACCTTACTGTGCTTCAGAATAGGGGGAGGTGCTTTTGAACTGTGGTGTTGGAGAAGACTCTTGAGAGTCCTTTGGACTGCAAGGAGATCCAACCAGTTCATCCTAAAGGAGATCAGTCCTGGGTGTTCATTGGAAGGACTGATGCTGAAGCTGAAACTCCAATACTTTGGCCACCTGA